AGGTCACCTTGTCACCTTTGCCTCTGCTGGCTTTCTTGGTGTGACACAAGGAGCTGAGACTGGGGCTGTCCTGCCGCCCAGCTGGGGACATCTGTCCCGCCGCAGGGCTTTGGCAGCACAAGCCAGGTGTTTGGGGACAATAAATGATTTTGGCTGTGCGTTGTGGGACAGCTGAAGAGCAGTTTGTTGGTGTGACAGAGCCCCTGTACCTGGGATAACGTGCTTTACAGGCAGCCCAGTCAGAAACTTGTGAATCAGGTGATGTTGCCYTGAAAGGCCAGTTTTTAATRATGACACAGACAYGGTTAAGGGGATAAAAAGGGTTTTACCTCGGTATTTGGGATCCCAGGTGCACAACTTGGATGGCAGAGTGCACACCCGTGTATTGCACAGATACAAGTTTTATAAATTTCAGTAATTAGCATATCTATCTAGGATTCCCCAATAAGAAACTTAACAAATGCAGTAATGTCCCCCTATTCTAATGAATGCCCCCCCCAGATGAGGCCAGAGCCCAGTTTACACAAGATGTTCCAGAGAGAAGGCTTTGCCCAAAGCTGTAGCTCGGGTTTAAGAGAGCACAGGGCACACTGACTCCTTCCTGAGGATGTTTGGTCTCCATGCCCAGCAGAACTCCTAAACTAAGCTGGAATATCAGGCTTCAGGAATTACAAACATGTGGGTTAAGGGGTACAGGCGGATGCATAGAGGGTACAGAAAGCGTAAAAAGGAAAAGCAAAAATCATCAGACATCAGTGTCACTTGGAAATCCATGGATAATTGTCAGGGAACTGCAGTGAGGGATCTCAGATGCACTGAGAAGCTGTCACTGAGCAAGGTGATCCTACAGGAGTGCTCTCGGTCCCAATGTCATGGTAAACTGGTGATGTCTCACCATTGGGGTCAGGTTCATCCCTTTTACTGTTCTGTAACCAAACAGAGCACTCACACCGTGGGCTGAGGGGCACATTGGTAATAATGGTGATAATCATGGTTTAATCCAGAGTGGATGGAAAGTAATGGAGGAAGGTGATGGAGGGAAGGTGATGATGGAGGAAGGTGATGGAGGAAGGTGCTGATGGAGGAAGGTGATGGAGGAAGGTGATGGAGGGAAGGTGATGGAGGAAGGTGATGGGGCAAGGTGATGGTGGGAAGATGATGGAGCAAGGTGATGGAGGGAAGGTGATGGAGGGAAGATGATGATGGAGGGAAGGTGATGGAGGAAGGTGATGATGGAGGAAGGTGATGGAGGGAAGGTGATGGAGGGGAGATGATGGAGGAAGGTGATGAAGGGAAGGTGACAAACATCTCAAGGAAGGCGTCAATGGGTTTGGTTGTTGTGCTTTTGCTCCTTCTGGCCCCAGCTCAGACTCTTGATCCGTTACCCACCCCAGGTTTTTAGCACCGGGAGGGCTGTGTGTGCTGTCGGTAAGAGGTGTAGGTAGATTGGGATACATGAGCAGAGCTGGCAGCAGCCTCAGCAGCCTCAGCAGCCTCAGCAGCCTCAGCAGCAGGCGCTCGGTGCCATTTGGCATTGCCACTCCCGGCATGGCCTGTGGCTAACGCAGCGTGTCTTTGGCAGGTACCACATCAGCCTGTCCTCCGACCTGGACTGGAGGCACGACAAGCACCACGACATGGACGAGGTGCAGCGCGACCCCCGCGCGGGCTCCGAGAGCACGGCCGAGGAGGCGCAGGTGGACCCRCGGAAATACTCGCAGAGCAGCTCCGAGCGCTTCCTGGAGCTGTCGCACTCCTCCATGGACCGGGTGTTTGACGCCGACTGTGGCAAGTCGTGTGACTACAAGGTGGGGTCACCCTCCTACCTGGACAAGCTGCTGTGGAGGGACAGCAAGCCCCACCACTACTCAGAGCCCAAGCTGATCTTGGATTTGTCCCACTGGAAAAGGGCCACCATCGCACCCGCGGCCGAGCTGTCGCTGGAGGAAGAGCCGTCCAACCTCTTCCTGGAGATCGCCCAGTGGGTGAAGAGCACGCAGGCGGGGCTGGAATGCCCCAGCTCCCTGCCCGAGATCCAGGAGCGCAGCCTGCCCTCCTCTCCTCGCCGCAAGGAGCCCGCCCCGGTGAGCGGCGAGACGGACCCCGAGTTCGACCTGGACGTCTTCATCTCCAGGGCGCTGAAACTTTGCACAAAACCCGAGGACCTGCCGGACAACAAGCTCAACGAGATCAACGGGGCCTGCATCTCCGAGCACCCCGGGGACATGGTGCAGGCTGAGGTGTTCCAGAAGGAACGCTGGTGAGGGCTGCCTGCCCGGGATGCTCCGCTGTGCCTCCCTCGCCCTCCGGAGGGGCTGAGCTGCTTCCCACCGAGCATCCCTTCTTCACACTGTACCAAACGCCTTTTTCAGAAAAGGCAAGCACAAACCACATGCCCCTCTTGATGCCTTAGGAATGCTTCCAAGGGGCTCAAGAGGTGTGARTGAAATACTGAGTTTCTTATACTGCCTTAACAATCTTGCCTTGCGATCTCTGGGACCTGTTTGAAACTTCAGTGTACGAGGGGGAGAAYGACGGTACATGGTAGGTTTACAAACAGTAGTCAAATCAGCTTATTTTCCATTTTTTTTCTATACCACCTTAAGGACAAAATCAACATTTTCAGTATGGTCAGGCAGCCTCCTGGTTGGACAGGTTCCCAAAACATCGAGTTCTGAGCTCCTCTGAGGCACCTGTGCAAATACAGGTGTGGAATAAAGCGATGCCAGCCGTGGGTCAGCGGAGCATGGAACCAGAGGTAGAGTTCGGCCATCAGACAAAAAAATACTCTCTGAGGATGTTTACGGGGAAGAAATTTGACCTACAAAATACGGGCCGTTGGGGATTTGTTTTATTTTTTCCGATGGGAAGACAAAAATTTTTTGCTAAGTGCATTTTGCTGGTTTGTGGTTTCTCACACCAAAATTTTCCCTTGTGTCGCACGGGGTGCAGCAGGGGATGCACGGGGATCTGAGCTTTCCGAGTCCTTCGGAGGGCCCATGTGATGCATTTCAGCGTAACACCCTGGTGCTGTGAGCCTGCCTCGGACAGCTGCCCGCTGGAAAATCCCGAGGAGAGGGCTGGACAGAGCTGAGGGCTGGGAACGGGGTGTCTCACGGTGTGAACTGCCTGGAACCACCAGGCTCAGCAAGGGCACCCRCCCAGCTCTGCCACCCAAAAGGAATTAAACACTCCTGGTTTTCCTTCTGACAAAGTCCTAGCGAAGAAAACAACCGTTCCTGTGGCGTTAGGTTGGAAACTAAACTAGATTGGAAACTGGCCACTCTGCTCCCAGCTGCTGTGGGAGACGCTGGTGTCCGCAGGCACTGTGTGTACATAGCTGAAGACACAACTGATCTACTGTAACTTCTGTTTTCATCCACACTTCTGAGCACCTTAATAATTAATCAGCTAACCAGAGTTTGTATATGGAAGAAATGTTCTATACTTATATTTAACCAAACCCGGCAGCTTTTTACGTGGGAAATGTGTAAATAGTGCCATAACAGACAGTCCCTGCTTTCCTTGCCATCCTCTTGCTGTGCTGTCCGGCACAGCGGCGCTGCTTACATTTGTAAAACAGAAACTGCTGTATTTAGCAACTGCAAGGCCCGTATTTAACTATTCCTACATTAATTATTTCCACYCTTTCAACAAGCAATCTGCTAAATGCTCTGAGACGTGAGGAAAACTCACGTGAGACTTGGATAACTAACAGCGGCGTTTGCTGTATTAACCCTGGTTTTGTTCCTGCCGGGGTCGGGTGCAGGTTTAGCTGTAGGACAGTGCCAGGCCCTGACAAGCCCAAAGGCGCGTTCTTGTTGGAGGATCTCGCATCAGGATGATGGAAATGGCCTTGTTCTGCCGATCCGCAGCACTGCAGTGAGGGCATCGGGCTGCTGGGGTGGGATGGGCTGCAGGTCCAGCTGCAGGGGTGGGATGGGCTGCAGTCCAGCTGCAGGGATGGGATGGGCTGCAGGTCCATCTGCTGGGGTGGAGAAGACCTGAAAGGCAAAGCCGTTTGTGTCTGCTGTCTGCTCTGGGTGTTCGGGTGTCTCCTGGAGCRGTTTAGACAKGGGAAGCGAGACTCAAGCACAGGGYTGRTTCCTGGWGTGTTGCAGATCATTGATATACCTCAGCTACAGCTCAGCACTTTCACCGGCGCTGGAGGAGGCTCAGGTGCCCGGCAGGAGCCACCCCTGAGCGGGAGCAGACCCCAGCCCAGCCCGGAGCCCGGGGTGCCGCTCAAACACAGC